AGTTCAGTATCAGGATATAGCTAAATGTCCACAAGCGCCTGGCATACATTTATGGTACAAATTTGGCAGGAGGACCCTGGAAAAAAAGACCTGGCACAGAGTATATACAATGAACTATATGTTATGGTGGTGTGTGCAGTGAATACTATTTCTGTGACAAATGTGTAACTGCTGACTGAAGTGATGCTTACAAAATTAGATTTATCTAACAGATGTAAATTTATATGTGAGCAGATAGCATCGATAGCTCCAATAGAAGGTACAATGCACACATGAAGGAATATAACAGTAAAAACAGATCGTACAATGGAAATCTGTTCAAATATGCACCACACAGAATTTTAAGTGACTCAATATGGAGTGTGTAGCAGCATAATGAACCTTTAAGACCAGATCCAGATCCCAGATCCCAAATCCCTGGCTTTGTTCACAGCCCACCGTATGTGCAGCTTTAACAGTCAGTAGCAGAAGAACGGCTGCCGCTGCAGAATTGGGATGTTCTAGTATAATTATTGTCTTCAAACACTCTGTTTTTTGCCTGATTAATCATAGTTTTCTTGTTGGAAGGGCAGTATTCAAAAGAAATAGAGTGTGATTTACTCTAAAGCAGGCCTGTATTTCAGCAGTAAAAGACTAGGCATTTCTGCTGAGAAGCCATGCATCAAAAACAAGTTGTTAAGAAACTATCAATGCCATTGTGGGTTGGTGAACAACTTGGGACAAGCCGAAGCTTTCTTTCTCTTGGCCTTGACTGTAACCTACCCACTGAATACCTCAGAGGCAATGATTATCCAGCTAACCACATCATAAAAAATCACAAGCAAAGCAAAGCTACACTCTTAAAAAAAAAAAGGGTTCTTTATTGGCATCCATGGTTCCATTGAAGAATCTTTAACATCCATGGAAGCTTTACATTACACAAAAGGTTCTTTATGGTGGAAAAAGGGTTCTTCAGGATATTGACATGTTCAAATAATGGTTCTTTGAAGAACTGTTCTCTGAAAGGCTCTTTGGGGAACCAAATAAAGTTATTTTATGGAATCGCTGTGAAAACCTCCTTTTGGGTTGCTTCCTGACTCTTATTCTTCATTATGAGGCTGAGGATATAGATAACACATCTGTCTCTATACTGCGCCGCTGGTGTGTGTCATGATGGTTTCTTCTACACCACTACCCTCAGCACCTGATCAATCAATGGCTAGTTTAATGTTAGAGACCCGGGTTATATGGGAAATCAAGCCAGTCAAATCAGCACTCTGACATCATGAAATATATGGCTTTCAGGATATATATATATATATTTCTATAAGTCATTTGAAATATAATCCAAATAAATAAAATAAGCACAATATCTTATTAACTACAATATAACAATACGATCAACTGTGGTTATTTAAATTAATATCTCTCCTCCTCCTTTCTAAGAGCCTTCTGTGTTACACAACACTCAAGACAACAAGGAAATAAACCTATCACAAAAAGCAAGCATTATCTTAAAACACAGCTCTTAAAACATAAACCTTTATTGCTAAGCACCTTGGAGCGTCATAAAGAATGTCAAGAGCTTAAAAAGGCAGCAGCACTTTGTCAACAAGATTGAATATGCACAGGTTAATTAACCGTCTCTATGCCTAAGTGCAATAAAGTTGGTTAAGGAGGAATCGATAAGCAGCACGTCAGCACACATCATTGATTGGGAGGTGACTTTTATTCCGGACAGTGATTTATGGAGTCATGAAAAGGTGCAACCAGAGTCAGGTAACTGCATTGATAGGGGTAGGAACAATTATTATGGATTAATGAACAGAATTAAAGAACATGTAATGCATGGATATGTTAATCAGAACATATTACCAATTCATGAGAAGATCAGATTTTTAAGATCTTCAGTTTAGAATTTTAGATAAAATATAGAACTTAATTACAATTCTTTATTAAATTATGCAGCGCATCCTGAAATTAATTCATAATTATCATAATTAAATCTTTTTGCAATATTAGTATTTTTCAAAATATGATGCAATGTATTTAGAAAATGTTCACTGTAAAAATGTAAAATAAAATAAATAATAAATATAAAAATATTTCACTAAACACGCATATATAATATAAACAGCATTTGCAGGCTATAATGTATCAGTTATTTGTACAATGTAAAATATTTGACAAGGGCAACAGTCATGAGTTCCATAAACCTTTTAAAGGGGTCATATGATGAGATTTCAAGTTTTCCTTTCTCTTTGGTGTGCTACAAGCTGTTCATGAATAGATAAGATCCCTAAAGTTGCAAAGACTAAAGTCTCAAACCCAAAGAGATATTCTTTATAAAAGTTAAGACTGGTCCACGCCCTTCTAAAACGGCTCGTTCTAACACGCCCCCACATGTCTACGTCACGATGTGGGAAGATTTGCATAACGCCGCCCAAATGTTCACGCAAAGAAAGAAAGCGTAACTTTATTGTTGCTGCCACCGCCCCCACCATGTTGTGAAGACGCTGTGTATTTCGTTGCGAAAGCAATAATACTTTGTTTGGCCTTCCAAAAGAGGACACGACTAGAAATCAGAAACAATAATGTACAGTATGTGTAAAATAATGTGTTTTTTGAACCTTAAACCGCATAAACACATTTCATTACACCAAATACACAAAATTATGTTATTTTTAGCAACATCATATGACCCCTTTAATGAGTAAATTATATGAGCACCTGGTCACTTACAAAGCTTGTATGTCTCTCTCTCTCAACTCATTCACTCACTCTTGCTCTCTCTCTTTCTCACTCACATATACACACAGTGGCCATGTGACAAAGCTCTTCCATGTACAGCTTCCAGCTGGCATTCACAGTAGCTCAGCTGTCATTACACATCTGTACACACACAGAAGACCTGTGGTGTTGACAAGGCTGATATTGAATTATACTTTACAAAAACCCCATACATGGACAGTTTGTTTACATAAGGCTGTCACCACATGCTGGAACAAATGTGTGTGTGAGTGTGCGCGAGAAAGAGAGACAAATCATCAAACTAAACCTCAAAGTCACTTTTCACAAGCTATAGCTTTCTTGACAAGAAAGGAAACGGGGACCATGATTATTAAAGTTTTACCCAAAATACCCAAAATTTTCCTTTTATGTTGTGACAAAAAATAAATGATAGAATTGCTAGAAGGAAGCATTCCTTGAAAGACATTTTTAAAGGGACAGTCCACCCAAAAAATGAAAACTGTCATTACTTACTCACCCTCATGTCGTTCCAAACCTGTATGACTTTCTTTCTAGTCTAGAAAATAAAAGAAGATATTTTGAACAATGTTGGAAACCGAAGGGTTTCGTGTCCCATTGACATGCATAGTATTTTTGTCCATACAATGGAAGTCAATGGAACCCAAAACATTCTTCTATTGTAGAAAAGAGTCACAGGTTTGGAACAACAAGAGGGGGAGTAAATGATGACAAAATGTTTATTATTGGGTGAACTATCCCTTTAATTAATTTCTCACCAATACTTAGTCATTCCCATTTGTCTGATGTCTAATTCCCTGACATGGAGATGAGAGACGGACAGAAGCGAGAGACAGAAGCATTGACGGTCAATCCACAGTCATTTTATTGGCAGAGGGCTGAATGTCCTGCCAATGAGACACGGCTCTAAACTGGGTGGGTTAGGGTTATTGACAGGTGATATTAATGAACCAAGTAGCATTAAAAGAGAGAGAATGAATCAATTGCCGATTATGCAGAAAAATGCAAACTCCTTGATACAGTCTAAACATGCAATTTTGAAAGAGGCCCAAAACAACTGATGAATGAAGAAATCGCAGTGTGTAACTCTTTTGAGGAGTTAATTAAACCAGTGTTCTCTGCTGGAAGACTTTATGACGAGAGCTGCATAAACTTTATGTGCCTCAGATGCATGCATTTCAGGAGCTCTACATTACAATGTCTGTTATAAAACTGGTCTACTGTGAGATAAAACATTTGCTGGCTTACTTAATTACCACTCTTAAGATTTTAAGTGGGTAACTTGGATAAAGAAAATTGCAGTCTCTAAAAATCAAAATCATAGGGAGTGATTATATAGACAGATAACAATTATTTGTGATCTGTTTGTAAAAAAAAAAAAAGAAGATTATTAAATAATAAACAAGAAAATGTCAAAGAAACATTAATTAAACATATTTTTTCTTTAAAAATAAAGATAATTATTAGAATAATTAATATAATTAATATAATTATTGACTTTATGCATCAGAGAAATAAGTGCATTGCCATCTTTAGAATTTTGTCTTTAAACTTTTTTTGTTTTTGTTTTTTTGCAGTAGGCCTAGCTCTGTAGCATCGCTGTTGAAGAGTAATTAGCTGGTGAAGTGGATGTACTGACTAGTTAATGAAAGTTATCATGAGCATTGCAATGTTCAGGATGTATGTCAGTAGACCGGGAGGATTTTAAAAGGAGCGCTTCATTCATAAATTCGTACGACCTTACCTTCAAGCTGTGGAAATACAAACCGGACACAAGACAACAAGCACAGTGCTGAAAAGGGGCAGGGCCACATAAGGTCTATTCTACTGGGCATTGGTTGCTAAGGAGTTAGCACATTGCTATGCAGTTACTAGGGTGTTCTCCTACATGGTTACATGTTGGTCAAATTTGCAGTTGCTATGCTTATTTAAATGTACAGTGACTCTAAAAAGGTACTTGCACATATAAAAACATAAAAAGGTCAATGTATTAGATACAACACCTGCAAACACGTTTGCATGTGCAATATTTCTTTAAAATAAAGCCACTGTTCTGCTATAAATTGCAAAGACATTCATAATTTTAATTGTGCCTTAAGTGTCCATTCAACAAGCAGCATGTTTTAAGGTAACCTAACATTTATGGCTGTACTGTAAGGAAGTTACGTGCTGAATTTTAATACGTTTAGCTGTTTTGATCATTCCTAACCCTATAGAAAATTGATAATAAATACATATTATTCACGACCTACCTGTACCACTGGAGGCCCTTCTCATAGAACCTGTCAAAGAAGTGCGGCTCTGCGCCCACCGCTCTCACGTCGGGATGAACGCGCAGGAACTCCAGAAGCGCGCGCGTTCCTCCCTTTTTCACGCCGATAATAATCGCCTTAGGAAACTCTTTGGTCCCAAAGTTGTTTGACACGGAGATATTGTTGTACGTGCCATAACCTAAACCTCGCTGCCGCTTCTCATCTTCCACGTCTGTCGCATCCCGCTCGGGGAGTTCGCGAACGATGGAGCCGTTCCATTGCGCGAGTTTCTTCCCCTCCTTTACGAAAAGTTTGCTTCTGAAACTCTGACGGATATACAGTGGACTCGGCATGGAATCGCAGTATCCGGTGAGACAATAGAATAAATAGGTGAATATGAGGATCATGGTAAAGAACACGGACACCTTGGAGTGCGCTTTCAGGTGTCCGAGGTCGCAACTCGTTGTCCAACATCCCATGAGTGTCTTTGCTTCGCAAGAAATAAAACGTTAAACGAAGGAATCATGCCGTATTAAATGTAAAAGAACGTTTTTTGTTGCAAAACTAAAGATTCAGTGAGTTGTACAGTTTTTGCACCACAAAGTCACTAAATCAAATGCATTCCATATTTGCGCGATGATGTCTTATCCACAGAAGTAACATTACGAATTATAACTTGTCTTTTTGTTGGACTGATTGGACTTCTTTGGCTTGAGGTCCCGCAGTCCTGCAGCTTCGGGTGACCAGGGTTACCCCTTAATCTCCCACCGGTTTTGGGTGAGTAACCACGCCCTGCTTTCCGAGTCCCACCCCTTTTGCTCAAATTACTTTTATGACTTCCCTACCTAAGCTGTTACAGATCCATTAACTACTGTTAAATCGATGAGAGCTAGAGAGCTTTTTTTTTTTTTTTTTTGCGAATAAAAAAAAAACAGGTCAAAGTTCAGAGCCCTTACTGCATAATGGAGATAGTGAAATGTTATCTTTGGTATTTTTATGGCATGTACTTTCCTTCATAGGCTGCTGCGTGAGGCAGCCCTCTGTCAGTATCTTTAACACACAGATGAAGAGGTCAGTCAGTGAGCAACACCTGTCCTGGAGGCCACACACTCAGTGGAGACAGTCTGTTTCTTGATCTGGTCTCTGCAGATTTAAAACTAAGCAAATCACAATCACCTCAGTTCACACAAACACACTGTACACTTCAAAAATGCACAGAATAACAGAGAATTATTTCATAATTATTTTAAGCCAACACTCTAAAAAAAGATGGTTCTTTAAAGGTTCTGGTTATTTATAACCTAAAAAAAAGGTTATTTATAACACCATTAAGGTCCTATATGGCATTTTCAAAGCATGGTTCTATATGGGACCCTATAAAAAAGGTTCTATTTAGCACTAAAAAGGGTTCTGCTATTGTTACAAGCCGAAGAACCCTTTTCTGGTACTGTTTAGAACCATTTTTCTTTGACAAAAATATGAAAAAAAATAAAAATTATACCAAGTTTTTTTAAATTACCCTCAAATATGGCTATAATTTATACTGAGAAAATAGAGAAAAACAAACAATAAATGTGGTATAAAGGCAAATTAAACAACTGACTTAAAATAACACATCTGACATACTTTATCATTGCAAATTAGTAAAATATTGTCTGCAAAATTAATATGTACTTAATATTAACTATTTATATTTTACCCAGTATTACAGAATATAAGAAAAAATACTTTACTTCAATTCAATTTCTAAATGAGCTTAACAGAACATTCTTTAAACATATGTACACTGGAGAGCTCTTAAAATAAATAATTTCTTACCACCAGAAAAATCCTTACAAATTTGAAAATCACTGCACAAAATATTCAACAAGACATGAAGACTTCACTATGTTGTACATGCAAATCTTAATTAGACTTTAGAGCATTTTTTTTTTTTACATGTGCAGCTCTAATATTGGTTTTGGTGCAAAAGATACATAATTTCCCTCACAATTATGGATATTATTCTGTCAATCTTGAAATTGTCAGAAAAAGACGATTTTGACATCTTTCTTGACAATCTACACTCTTGTTAACGCTACAGGACAGGTGCCATTCTGCTCCAGACTCTACGGAGCCTGCAGCAAGGCTAAAAACAACACTGCCTGACTGTGGCCAAACACTCTCTCCACAGGACCCCCGTATCACAATCACGATTATTTTCATAAAATGAGATCGTTAAGACTTTACAGCAAAACTGGACTTTTTACTGGACAATACTGGAGAAATATACATAAATATCTGGAATATATATATATATATATATATAGTAATATATATAGTTCTAAAACATTGTAGGCTCTTTGGGGAACCCAAAATGGTCCTTCTATGGAATCACTGCAAAAAAAAAACAAAAAAAAACTTTTGCAACCTTTATTTTTAAGAAGAGGGTTCTATTACTTTTCTAAGCAAACAGACATTAAACATGATGTTGGCCACTTATAGCACCACCCAAGATACCATAAAGTTTTGTCAGCTTAGGTTACTATAAACATGCCACATAAAAGGCCCAATATACTGTTCATCATCTGCTACCTGTATGAGATAATCATTGTCTGCACTGAAAATAAAAAAAAGTTCTGAAGGATAATTGAGAAGTGTTCCTGTCTACATATTTGAGGAAGACCACCAGCGATCTGCCACCCACAAACACATATTATACGCATGACTGTTGACCTGTTCACTCAGCGTCTATGGTTCAGGCCAAAATTATATCATTATTAATAACACATACATTGTGCACTTTACGTGCTTTTCTTGGAATGTAGAAAGACAAGATTGCAACACAAACCATAAGTACTCCAAATAGCTTTTATTATACAAAAATGTATGTCGCTTCAGGCTACACACAGTATAAAAACCTATATATTTGATATATCTCAAATAAGCACTACTGATCTGGGTATCACAGTATCATCACGTTTGTCCGAATATGATCAACAGCTACCAAACCTGTTTTTTTACTCTGAACTTGCGTGAACTCATGGTGCGTTCAGTATATTGTTAGTCATGTTCATGCACTACTGCAGGTCAAACTGGTTGCACTAGGTTAAAATTAAATTCTTCTTTGCTTTGTTGAATTTATTGAAGACGAGGTATTTTGCCTCTGATTGGCTGCATTTGTGAGCATTTGTTTGAGATCTTACGTATTATTATGGATGGGTTACCTCAACTGGTTACCTTTCATTTAGCAGATGCTTTTCATTCACAGCGACCTACTGCACCGTTCACTAGTTGCAGGAACAACGTTCGCTGAAGCAGCCTGACGTTAAGTGCTTTCCTCCTGGGTAAAGCGGTGATGGAGGAATATAGTCATTTCAGAAAATCTCTAGTTCCTGAGTGACATCTTAGCAAATACTAAATTATTAGATAACTTAAAAACAAAAAGCAAATTCTAAAAGTACAAAGTATTGTCGTTGAACCAGGTTTCACACTATAGCTGCTATGCAACCCTACAAGTAAAGAACTGTATAATTCAATCCTTTAGAAGTCAATATCATTAGACACGCACATTTTAAAGCTGGCTAGAAAGGTGCAAGATAGTTAGGAAAAGCAAGTGCATATAGCACGGATACACACTCTATAAGGTTCTGTTTGTTAATGTTTTTACTATACTTGTGCACCTTTGTCAATAAAACAGTAAATACAATAAAGATGGTATTTAGGGATGCAATGACACAGCCAAGATAATAGTGTAAAGAATTCTGTAATGTGCTCACTCAGTAAAGGTCACTTAGTGACAAGTGCAAGTTTATTTAATAAATTATGCAGTATATAGTTTACAATGTACCACAACAAAGACACACTAAAGCCCTATTGGGACAGGATTAGTTGTCGGGTGTGTCTACTGCCTTGACGTAACTTGCTATTATAAATGTAGGCGCCATTTAATTAAACATGCATCAAAATCAATAGGATTGTTGACATTCTATAGTTTTTATAATGAATTTCAGTGAACGATTTAGTTTAGGTCAGAATTCGGCACAACACCTGCATCTGAGATGATCGATTCGGGCGGAATACATAGGCTATATTTAAATAATCAGCATCCCTAAGTGTTGCGGTTTTTAACTCTCTTATTTCCTCCTCTGCGATTGCCGAAGTAATTAGCCTACATTAAGAAAACAGATGGGTCATAGAACAAGAGATCGACAGCATTTCACTAACATAGGCTACTGTAATCAAACACATTAATATAGGCTACTGCAGTTGTCTTAAGGAATGAAAGTGAAAAGAACGATACAAACTAAAAGAGAAACACAACTGGTAAAAAAAAAATGCAAAGAGTTAATGCATGGTATCATGAACTATGAGAGAATTTAACAGGTTAACTGTTAATTTTTCATATAAGCATATTTTAATGTAACAATTTCATTTAATAATTTGTGAACGAGCACAAACTAACAAAGAACAGCAGACCTATTAATACATTTTCGAATTTTAAAACCTTATATATTTTATTTTGAGTTACCTTCATTATCTAAGGTTAACAAACTGAACCTTATTGTAAAGTGTTCCATGTGTTTTTTGCAAATAATCACCTTCAGCCAGATGTGGCATTTGTTTTCACAGCTGGGGAGGTGTTTCTTCAATATTGCATGCCTGCACACACAAACATGCATGCATACATACACTTGTGCTCACATACACGTTTATACTGACACTCAAACACAATTTAATCTGCGTGCTCATCAGTAAAGGGTGAATGAGGGCAGATCACATCACGCTAATGGTTGAAAAACAACAGCACATGTGTAGAACTTTCAAAATCATCTGCCTCACAATGCAGAGGAGCTTGAGGAGTTAAATACCTATTCTGTGCAACACCTGGATATCGTGGCATCTTAGGGATGCCAGCTGTAGCTCGCCCACAACAGTTAGCCTAGTTGTTGTAATCTAACGCTTTATAGGTTAAAAAGTGTTTAAAGTGTCTAACATTCACACACAAGTGAAAATATTGCCTGAAAAGCACTGTGCCTCTGAGCGTGCCTTTCTTGGACCTCAGCACACTGTTTGCACATGAAAGCTGAAGTCTATGGCGGCAAAGCCAGTCTCTGTACACTGCATGGTATGGAAGGGCTGTGGTTAGCCTTAAGTATAGGGAAGACATGAATTACATTACAGTGGATGGGTGTAGCAGTCAAGAAAGAGAGGAGAAGGAGAGAAAAGTAAAGAAGGCAGAAAGAGACAAAGGGGTTTTCAATGGGCATGTCATGGCAGGACATCTTGAAACCTTAAAGGTGAAGTGTGTAATTTCTCTGGCAGAAACAGAATTTCAAAGGTAACAACTGTTTTCGAACAAGTTTTAAGCTTGGTGCTGCTAGTAGCGCAGAAATGACACACTTCACCTCACCTTTAAAGTCAATGTGAAACGCGGTACGCAAGCGATTTTATTTATTTACACTGCTGTATTTGCAATGGTATATTCTAAAAATGATAG